CAAGGGCAGCAGTCTGGCAGCAGCGTCACCTGAGCCTCACCCCCTGTGCCCTGCTCTGCACTAGGCAGCACTTCCAGGTCAAAGATTCACACTTCAGTGCCTTCTGACTTCAGTCAGCTGCAGATGAAGGCTGCCTCCAGTACACGAGTGCACACAGGACAAATAYTGTGTGACTGTCACCACATACTATTATCATGCCTGCAGGATGCAAAGATGGATAGAGCTTTGGAGTAATGCATTTTGAAAGCTCTAATTCCCAGGCACTTTTCTTCAGAGAAAAGCCACACATTAATCATTAATAAGAAAGGAGGGCAAAAGGAACCTGGCTTTGGCAACCTTACTTCTTTTAGTTCCTCAAAATCAGCACACGGACAAGGGAGAACAGGCACACCAACATCACTGATAACTCAGTACWGTGTTTTCAGGGGGCAGAGAGAGACCTTTTCTGCCCAAACAAGACCTGATGTCGCTTGAAAAACCTTTACCTTCATGTGCCTCACAGACACCCACACTCCTGCTTSAAACAGGGTGTGCAGTGCCTGTCTGGGTACACACACGTTACAAATACACAAAGACACGAGGACTCACAGCATTACCTGTGACTGGAAYACTGCAAGGGACATCTGCAGGACAACATGAACACACATGCAGCACATAAAAAGGCACATTGCTAAATCCTCCAACTACTGGTATTTACCAACTTCAGGGGAAAGGACACACAAAGGTGCCAGTGCCACATTAAAGACAGAAGAGTGAAGATCTGTGCAGTCTAGATCACCTCAGGCACTTGGGAGCTTAAACCTCACCAAAGCCAGGAGGAGACAGGGCTATTAAAAATTAGACCACAAAAAGGTTTATACCATTAATCTTGCCTGTAATTATGTCAGCGCAGTAGCAGAACAGCAAATAAACCCACATTTCTCAAGTCTCCTGTTACAGCTTTAGCCACTAGGCTGTCCCTTCCCTTCTCAGGGGTTGATGCTGCACAAGGTGTTATGTGCAATCTCCATCTGAAGGATGCGTGTTTTTAGGGGAAGTCAGGTGGGTGCAGTTTGTTTGTGTTCATACACCTCAGCCAGGGCTCTGAACCCTGAGGCTATTTGTGAATGTGAAYTTCTGTGTACTTGGAGAACTGACAAGAAATGCTGCAACTACAGATGGTACCCCTGGAAAAAGGAGCACTTTGCATCTGTTTGCTATGCAAATTARTTCATTTAACATTTGTTGACAGCAGGTCAGTTTAGCACAGGAATCAGGCTAGAAAGTTGGCAATTTAGGAACTAAGTTCTACTCTGTCCTCTTAGAAGTGAAAAAATCCAAGAGAGAATTAAAAGTAATTAGGCAGAAAACAGCAATTAAGTTCAGAATGAATTTAATTTTCAAACCATTAAAATCCTATCTGCTTCCAGAGAACCAGGAATCATGGTGGGTATCTTCACAGAAAACTAAAGAGATGATGGGACTGCATCAGTGCTCTGATCCACAGATGCAGCAATTTCCCTTCAGGGCAGGGATGCACCTTAGGACAAACCAGGGGACCCAGGGAAGGTCTCTGGTACTGCCTGGGTGGTCAGAAATCATGGATCTTCCCCACAAGGACTCAACTCATACTTTTCTCCTAAAGCACCTCAGTATCTGGGTAAAAGTTGTAGGAAGGATCATAAAATGGCCTCATGAAGAGGCACCAAATCATTCCGTTATTTCAACAGGAGTGCAACTTGAAGATAAATGCTTCCGGATTGCAAATCCAAAGGGCTTAAAAGAAAAAAAGAAAGRCAGTAACTAGGAGAGACACTCTCCACATACCTAAAAAAATAAAATACAATGTGAAAACATAAAGCTTGTATTGCAAATGAAATGAAGGAACATCTGTGCATACTTAATGATCTCCTAYAGTAAGCAAATGTCTTCCTTACTTCTTCCCCAGTCCCACTATTTCATAACCAAAAATTCCACTTGGATTTGTTTCTTTTACTGCTCCYTTCCAGATTTCTACCAGTCATGTTTCTTTTATCAGCTTCAACAGAGTAAAAGWATATCCCTGTTTTATGAAATGATACCCAAGGCAGCATCTCTCACAAGGCTCGTGACCACTTGCAGTAGYAAAGTGATAATGGATACTGCAGATCTATTCATCATATTGGATATACCCCTAGAAACAAAACACAGCAATCTAAGAGGAAGCATCTTTTTCCTGATCTCATGATGAGAATGGAGACAAAATTATCATCACCTGCAGTAGTTTCTGAAAACTCCAGTGTTTCTCAGTCAGGATTACAACAGAGCACCCAATAAATTTCATTATCAGATTATACTCTGCAAACTGGACATGCTGCCAAGTTTCTAAAGGGGAATACAGGATTCCCCAAACATTTGTCTGAACAGAGTTTTTGGCAAGTCAAGTGCAGAGTGAGATGGCACACAGAACCCACCAGCCGTGTTCCAGATAATACCAGGATTCCAAATATCCAGTCACAGCAGAGGCACACTTAAAAGCAGAGGGCTTGACTTTAGAAGGAGCTCTTTAAATAAACACTGGCCTCCAAAGTCCACAAAAACAGACCCTAAGCAGCAGCCTTTTCCTCCTCTGATTCCCACAGGCTCTGTGCATGTGCAGTCAGCCACAATAGCTTGGAATGGACACTGAGTATCCCAGGTAAACCCAGAGTGAAAAAACATGGCAAAACAGAGTATATGAATGGCTTTCTTGATGATAAACTGTGAGCAGCTTCTCAGATTTCCAGCCTGTAAATGACCAGGTCCAGCATTACCCAGTATCAGACACAGACAACAAGCAGGTCCAGTGCTGGGTGCAAGTTCTGTGGCCACACAAACTAAAATCAGGATCAAGCATCACAGAGGGGTTTTATTAATTCAGAAAGTGGGCAGATCAGGGCTGTGGAAAGCCAGTAAAACCACCTCAGCTCCAGCCAAGGKGCAGAGTGCACGGATCACGGTTCTTATCTTGTAAATGAATTCCCAGGCCTGGTACAGGTACAGATCTCTGCCCAGGTGCTGGCCCCAATTACTGACCCTGCTCCTTCCATCCCACACCACACTSTCCCTGCTGTTAAAACAGCTCTTAATCCATGCTGGGCAGGTGGGCCAAGGTGACTTTGGAGAATACAACTCACCCTGACCTGCTCAGACATGCACACACACACCAGCACCCAAACCCATAAAGTCAGGAGGGAGAGACAAATTACACAGGAAAAAATGTGTAAGATCAGAAAGCAGAGTGGGATGGATCAGGAACTGAAAAAGAGCTAAAGGTAAATAATAGTAATGTAGGAGTTTTTTTTTAATTGCTTGTTTTTAATTATTTTGAAATGAGTGTATCCATGGCTCCACATTATCAAAGGAGAAACCTAGATTAAGAACAAAGTAAAGATGAGTAAGCAGAGTTTAAAAAAAAAGGCAAGTAATAATTAACTGGCAGTTCATGCTGTGAATCACTGAGTTTGAAACAAACTCGCCCACATCTGTTGATAAACTTCATTAACTGAAAAAATGATACTGAAATGAATGCCATCCTGCATGCACAATGTCTGTGTTCTCTTAAATACCGAATCTGCAAGGACATCTGAAACCCCCGAAACTCAGAGATTATACTGGTTATTTTGGGAGACACCTGAGGCTCACTTCTAAAGGGGAAAAGGGAGGCTGGCACATCACCAAGAGACCTMACCTCCCAATCAAATATCAAATTGGTGAACATTTGCAGTCTGCAATAAGCTCCGTTTGTGGAAAATTGAATTCCTAAGACCAGCTACTGTGTCAATGAGAGAAGCGTAGGCAAAGGGGTTTTTAAACACTGGTGTCTGTCAGACAGATGGCTGCAACAATTTATTCTCTGTCGGTGTTAACTATCACATCTTGCTGCTGCTTTGAAAGATGTGCTGCAGAGGATTTCAACACACAACACAAAATAATTCCAACAGTTTGAATGTTAATTACTTTTGATATGTCCATTTACACGCCTAGATCTGGAATTGCTCTACAAAAGGYATGTGTAATATCCCTGACATGGCAACAGGAAGCTGAAAGACAGCTCATATCCACCTGCTCCTGCATCTGTCCTGTTCCTGGACTCATCTCACTGCAACAAGTGGGGAGACAGCAAGACAGTTCTCCCCACCTCTGAGTTTCCACTAAAACCAGTACCTCACTTTAAAATAAAAAAAAAAAAAACAGACAAACCCAAGCCTGATCAACAAACTCAAAGATACTCTGGATACAGAAGTTCAAGTGGATCCATATACTAATAAAATTTTATGATGCGGATTAGGCTAGTCTACTAATGACCAATTTATTGTCTACGCTTACTGGAGAATCTCATATTCATTGAGATAATCCTTTTATTCCCTCACCATGACTAATTTCCTCTTGCAGAACACACTTAGAATATGAGACACTASTAAGTAAAAACTTATGATGTCTGGAGTCTGCTTAAAGGACCTTAGTTTCCAGTGGGACTGCACATAATTTCAGTAATGGGCCCTTTCAGAACACTTTTCATTACTTTCTTCATTTGTGAAGTTACTTGGGGGAAAAGTTATTGCAATTTAGAGACCACAAGTCCAAGAAACAGAAATGAAACAACTTCTGAAGATGCATTAATCAGGAGAGATCTGACAGGAGTACACTTCAGAGCAACAGAAGGTACAATGCCAAATCTTTATTAGTTTTGTTCAAACTAATTGACTTGATCACAGAGCTGAAGAATCTAAACTCTGTAACTATTTTATCTCAAAAGAAAAGCAAAATGAGACACACGAATTTAGGGAGTATTTATTCTTCAGGTTTTTCAGACTTAATTAGGACTCCTTTTGGCATGGACTTTTGGCATGGACTGTCCTGCTCCCAAGGTGCTTTCAGAATTGCAAATACAGTACCAAACCAGAAAAGACTCCTTTGCAAGGAATATAYAGAGAAGGAGCATTCAGGATCCCAAACAGTCAGCAGTTCAAGGTTTGACTAAACCCCCAGCTGTGCCTTACCGTAAGCAGCCCGAGGTGTTTTTGAACACCGTTGTCCACTCCGCATCGCGAGGCTTCGAGTCCTCGTTGGGCTCGCTCTCCCAGCCCGAGTGGGGGATGATCACCTCGTTGGTCAGGGTCTGCAGACCATGGTTGATGATGACCATCTTCAGGGGYTCATAGGAGGATAAATTCCACAGAGTGCCTGCAGGAGAAAATAAATATTTYATTAAATAACCAGAGTGTAACAACGATTTAAAATCTGTAGGTTAAACAGAACCACAGGATTCACAGAGAACTGCTTGAAGGTTAAATCATAAAACTAAACAAGAAGGCTTRATGAGATGCCAGGCCAGAACTAGCTTAGGAAAAATCCCACAGCTTCTTCAACAAAGCAGGGAAGTTCTTTTATCAAGACACAGATATTTTTTAACTCATCAAGCCCTAAACAGAGTACATAGAAGTGATGTACTGTTGGAGATTAATAGGGTTTTTCTGCTGTAAACAAATTGTGTTACACTTTCAAGTCTAACTATGTCTCAAAATGTAAAAATTCATCCAGTGAAGCAGACAAGTGTATCCTCCATCCTAGGAGGGATGAATTTCTGGGGGATCGCTGATCTTGTACTCATCTTCTGCACAAGAAAAAATTTCATTCAAGTCTCCTCTCTCTTGCTTACTTTCACATTTTCCTGTCACAAGCAATATCTGTCTTCCAATCTCCTGGTACCACAAGCATATGATTCCTTGAAAAAGCTGAAAACCAAAACTCCCCTGTCTTCATTTTTACTTCAATTATGAGCCAAAGCAGACAGAAGTCAAACATCAAAACAGAATAATAAAACAACAGCTTTACAGCTGCAAAATATCCAGTGTTAGATAAGTGACACAACCTCCCAGYAGACCTGTGTCAGTGTCCTGACAGTTATCACTCATTAGAAAACAGAACACTCACTCCAGAGATGATTTCTGCATAGACCCAGAAATCTGGTACCATTTGAGAACTGTCAGTAGCAACACTTGGAGRGAGCCAGACACACATTTTCAGTCTCCAAGGAAAAGTGTGAGTTCTAGCAACATTTCAGACAGACCAAACAGAAATCCCAGATTCCCCAGAATACATTGGAAATATTTTCTAAGCAGGACCAATATTAACCTGAGGCTCCCTGTGCTACTACAACCATGAATTTGTGCATATTACAGTGCAAATTACAGATACATCTAAAAACCACAACAGAATAACCAAAGTGCAACCTTTTGCTTCAGTCCCTTTCAATCTCCCCAAATTTTAAAATCTACAATTTTCAAGCTTCRGAGACAACTGGGAAAAGGTTTTGGATTTATTACCATGTGGCACAGCCTGMCAGGGGGGACTTGCAGGAGTGTAGCAGTGGCTGGATATAGGATACCATATTAATTAATAAAGAAACTCTGAGGCAGACAACAAAATGAACACCATAATGTTTCTTGCAGTCTTTTTTCTAAAGTCATACAAAAATAATGCTTTTTTGGCCTACTGCCCTTGCCATTCATAGACACACTGYATGAGATTTTTATAGCCTAATTTTAGCTTTCAAACAAGACTGTGTAGGTAAAATATGAATCTTCTCTTTGTACCCATTACAATAAATCACCCTTTGTCGCTGCAAAACAACAAATGTTGGGGAATAAGAAAAAAGCAAAACCAAGCAGAAAGGGCTAATTGGTCCCGTTTTGTTACTGAAGAAAGCCTTTACTTCTCATAACAAACTGGCTCCAAAAATATACAACATACAAAAAACAAATCCAAGTCAGCATTTATAATAAAACTTTTTTTAAAAAAGGATGCATAAGTTACTCCGTTAATTTTAAATACTTCACTAGAATGTCTTCAGTTACCTACACCAATTTCTTAAGCATGTCAGACTCACTCATATAAAAATAGTAGGTACAATTAAATCCCTAAATGCATGGCTGGCTCAGGACTTCAAAATTCAAATGCAAAATCTGAACAGCCAGCACTGAAYGAGATGGATGAATCCCAGGAAATGCTACAGGATAATCATCTCTGGAGCAAACCTAGATTAAAACCAAGAACAGTGGGAGTAGAATACCCTGGGGCTCTGGAGGTTCCCCTCATAAATGGGGTGTGGGGTATTTGCAGTGGTCACAAATCCACAAATGGAAAAGATGGCATCAGCCAAGGTACCCACTGCAGGRTTCCTAAGGATCCTGTTCTTCTGAATGGCAAAATATTGCAACTGGAAACACTGCTGAGATGGGGAAGAGCTAAGTTTGAAAATCTGACAGCCCTTACATTTTAAAGCTCTTTCCTRAATGCACACACTACTTTTGCACCTGAAATGAGTCTGCTTCTTTCCCTTTTCAGGAGCAGTAATGGGTTATCTCTAGAGTGGAACTACAAATGCAAATTTTACTGCTTAAGAAGAATCAGGCAGACACCTAAGTAAAAAGTCAAGAATATCTATAAAATTTCCAAGAGTTCTAGTATTACAGAATTGTACGAGGGTTTTCCAGTGCTCAAATATTTTGCTTCTTTTAAGATTTGGAGATTTGTGTYCAGGTTTCAGTGCCTCCAACCACAGCATATAAAATACAATCACCAACTCCAACCTCCTCCTCTATTCCCATTCACCAGTGGTTATTTCAAGAGAATAAATGCAGCTGGAATTCAACAGTGAACAAATAGAAGTCCAGGTCTGACCAGCTGACAGGACCTCAGACACATCAGTGCCCAGGAGCTGTGAGTTCTGAGCCATCTGATTTATCTGCAAGTTGCTATTTGAGCATTAGATCAAAATATTTCATCTGTAGAGCATTCTGAAGGTCAATCATTTTTCAATTATAACCAATTTGGCAGCAGAAAAATCACATCCTGYAGCACTTAAAATCAGTGCAATGTCATTAAACAACAAAATTACTCCAACGTTCTCACAAAGAACAAAATTATTCATTAAAGCTACCAWTTTCTGATTGCTTTTCAAAGAATGTAATAGAATTTTGGTCTTGCATATCTGATGGGAACATTTCCTCCACGAAAACCTTATCACTCAAGATAAAACTTCTGTAGCTTTCCCAATCAGAATAGATTTAATTCCTTATCAGCTTAATCCCCGTTTCTYTGTTTTTCTCAAGAAAATGATCCACTGAGGGAACAGCAGTACAACTGCAAGCCTAGCAAAAAATGAAGGAAGATTTTTATGGTGCATTTCTCAACACAACTCTACTCATTGTTTACTTATGGACACTAGTGCAGTAGATAGGAAACATTTTGTAACTCCACACTTTAAAAAGAAAGAGAGGTGAGAGCTGTTGCATTTTATGAATGTATTTTTGATTTTTGAAGGCAGTTTTTGCACACTTCACAGATTTCTTACCTTGAAGGATGGTAATGGTATTTTTAATGCCATTTGCAGATATGTCCAGAACATCTGATAAAACAGAGATGGCACTAACCCAAAGAAGTTTTTCAAATTCTGCTAAAACCAATGCTTTCTGTGAGAAAAAGATCTATAGATTGGCTTAATCTGGCAGCAGTGCTGTACCAGTACACTCTGCCTGCTTCCAAAATGCAATGTCAGAACAGGGGTCTAACTTGTSTTCCCCTAAATGTGCATCCTGGGAATTGGTCAGGAGGTACATGGGCAGGCAGTGTCCCCCCAGCCGGAGAAAAGAAAACTTCAGGCCTGGAATTGCTCTTGAATCCAGACAACTGAATTATTTAAACTTCTTTAAATTACTTGAATCTCTTTGGAAAGCAGGATTATTTTATCATTTGTCCATATCTGGGATGACCAGCTGGTGATTACTACTGAGCTTTTGAAAAGCAGCCAGTATTGAGTTAAAAAAATATTAAACTGTAGAAAAATCAATGTGTCATACCAAACTTGAATTTGGAGCCTGTGGAAAGAAATAAACACACATACCCTGTATGCTGCTGTATTTCTTTTTTTTTTTTTTTTCCCCCAAATTGCACTGCTGATGAAGTCCCCAGACATTTCACTCCAGACACAYTGAAAAACTTTCATGGCAAAGGTAGGCTTTGGTTTATCACTAGGGAAAAGCACCCAGATAGGAAGTTGAGATTGCTACCGGGAAAACACTGGAATTGTGATCTGAATTTCTGAGGCTGCGGAACACAGTCCTTTTGTAGCAGCCTCTGCATGAATTCTCCCTTTGCACTTCACSCTGGCTCTGGTTTCTCTCTGCTGACTTTTGGAGCTCATTTTACGAATGGACAATTCCACATTATCAGGCAGAGCTTTGAACAYGGACTGCAAGTACAGCAGCACCAGGCACAGGGGCATTGCTGGAATATTCTTCTTTTCTGTGCTGATGCTTGAATGTCTCACACCGGATCTGCTGATACCATTTCAGAAGGGCAATGAAATCATTCCTGGTTAGGTGGAGATTAAATGCACATCATCTGTTACTGGACATCTGTTTAGGTTAATGCCCTTAGTATTCCTGGGTTTTTTCAATAAGGGGAAATAAAGAGCTCCAAATAACAAAAGCCAAGGTGGAATAAAAATACTACATTTAACTGGCAAGAACTACTGCCAAATAAAATGCATTTAATTTCTAAAGCTAATTAATCAACTGGAAATCAAAGCAATCGCCATTTACAGTGAAAAGGAAAAACACCAGTCTGGTTTTGCCATCTCAGAAGTGACTGATTGCCACTTAGCATTACAATGATATTCCTTCAGYGTAAATTATAGACTGGCTTCTCCTTTCTTGAATCTAAGGAAATAAATTTATTGCTTCTCAGCACTCCAGAAATGAGTTTTGATTAAACTAGAACAGCAGATAAACAGATATTCTTTATKTTAAAAAATAAAAAAATGTAAGTCTGCCATCATAGTAAATGAGTGCAACAAACGGAATATAAATATTACCTGCAGAGTTCCCATGCTGAGGCAGAGCACAGACAGCTCTCAAAGCACAACCTGCACGTGCTGCTCAGAGGTTCTCTGACAAAACAGAMAGCTCTCCTTTGCCACCTCACCAGAAAAAGGCTGGAAAAAGGTCCCTGCTAGTTTCAACACTGTATATTTAAACCTAAATAGCCTGTAATGGCTGGGRAAGAACAGATGGAACACCCAAGGCCAGTGTTCATCTCAGAGAATTATGATTACCAGTAAAAACTTAAGAGAGTTACTATAATTTCTGAGAAAATTAGAGAATTATGATGTTTGCCTCTGATGGCTTAATCAATGTTTGCAATAGGGTCTACCTGCACAACCCAACATTGATAAGGCAGCTAAACAGTTTCAGCCCTGGACCTATTTTCACCTCGCAAAGCTTTCTGAAAAAATCTGTCCTGGCACTGAAATTCATTGGAATTGCTCTGGTCTCCAKCCAAACATCCCCTGCAGCTTCTGAGAAGAGAAAGGGAAATCCATTTCAGTCCTCATGATTTATGGGAGACTGAAGAACAATACCTTTCTCCTTACTTTAAGACCTGACACTTTTCCACCCTTTTCCACTTAATGGCTGAACTTTGAAACTTGGCATATACTTTATTGCTCTTTTTGGATGATGTCCAAGACTAAGTTCAAATAAAAACAGGTTAAATAATGGAGCTATAAATGTTTGAAAACTCCCTGCAAAGCATGCACGAACTCAATAACCTGAAATGTAATTCTCCTTTTTCCAACCTTTGCAACAAGCAAACCCATGTCCAGAGAATCAACAGCAGACACTACGCTCCCTAAATTCCAAGTTTTCCAGCCCAGAAGCACTGCAACTTAATATACAGCCTGAGAGTCCTCAGCACTAGGCTGGAAGTGCTCCTGAGGAGAATGACTGTTCTATAAATATGAGGGAGTGGGGGCACGGCAGCAGGATTGTTTTATAGGAGATTAACAAGGAAAGGTTTAGATCAGCATATCTCACCTCACCATTACAACACGCTGAGGGCACTTGCACTACAAATTACCTGTCAGTGCAGCTGCTGTAACTCATTTAAGCTTCAGTAACCCAACCACATGCAACTGCACACTACATCTGAGGAGCAGCATCCATCCCTCAGCAGTCAGAGAATCCCAAAAGCACCGCACACACATGGGACAACCCTGATCCGCTCCGGACAGGCAGTGTCAGCCTCTGACACCACAAACGTGGGACAGCTACAGAGCAGCTGCAGCCAGTGATCTAAATTCTCCTTCAATGCTCTCATCTCCAGAAATTCTTGCTCCTGAAGCCGAAAGGACTGCTCTAAAGACTAATCCATTAAAGAGATCACAGACACTGACCTGTAATTAGCTCTCTGACTTCCATGTCGTTTGTTTTCCGCAGCAGCCTGATCAATGCGGGGATCCCATCACAGTTCTTTATGGCCACTTTGTTCTCATTATCCTTCCCGAAGGAGATGTTTCTGAGAGCCCCGCAGGCTTTACGATGCACCTCAGGTTTGGGRTGATCCAGCAGGCCCACCAGGATGGGGATCCCTTTCAGGTGCCTGACATCCTTTTTGATTTTGTCGTTCTCRTAGCACAGGTGCTGCAGATAGGCGGCGGCGTTGGATTTGACRGGGTCGATGGGGTGGCTGAGCATGGCGATGACCTCGGGCAGGTCGGGGTCCCTCCAGCGCGGGTCCTTGCGGATGCTGTCGATGGAGGGCGAGCGTTTCCCCAGCCGGTCGATGCTGGCCATGCTGCCTCGCTCGGGCTGTGCCAGTGGTGCTGCGTAGCCGCCGTGCAGGTACGGAATCCTCTCCTCAACCATCTCGCTCTCKATGGGGTCCTCGTAGCCCCTGGGAGAAGCAACGGTCCCAAGACAAAGAGAGGGGAAAAAGGAGAAAGGAGGATGTTTAAGCATTTTGAAACTCTGAGTCAATGTGGAAATTTCAGCCATGAGCAAACATTTTAACATCACAAGTATCACTAGGGCAGTATATTTACAATTTCCAGTAGTTTATTTGCAGTAACTTGAAAATTACCCATAGTTGGGTTCTCAGCAGTGATGGGAGGCAGTGTTTGTTTGACACTGTGATCCAGCACAGTGTTTGTTTGGCCAGCAGTGAAATGATGACAGGAACTGCAAGCCATCAAACAGATTGCTTTCATTTCGGTCACTTAGCAAAGCAATTACAACAGAGCTGGATTACATTTAGTAGGAAACACTGATCTTCATTAATGCTGCTACTTCTGCAACAAACCAAAACTCTAATTAAAGGCATTCRGGGCCTGGGCAGAGACCACAGACATATTTCAGTAAGTCTGACAAGTTCCACTAYGCTTCCATGTTGATGCTCACACAAGTGTACTCTAAACACTACTCTTAATCGATATTACCATAAACCAYCCTCTTCAGTGAGTATTTTTTCAAACCAGCAGCAGCCTTTTGCTTTATGGCTTTTTCCTGGACAGGTTTGCTACTGTCTCAGTACTGCAGTTASCTCAGTCAAGCAAGTGGTTTTAATTGCTACAAAATGATTCTTAAAATCTTTCATGTGAAGCAGTGAGTGATGTTATCGAACCAATTCTGATGTCATGCTGAAGTATAGACTATTAGAAGTCAGGAAGAAAACAGAGTTTGCTGTCATCCCAAAGGGACTGCTAATTAAACTGGGCTCTGGGGAGAAGAGCAACCGGAGGTGGAGACTGAACTTAGCCTTGTACAATTAACGCTTTTAATGTTAAAAGCGCCTCTCCTGACTTTAAGTTGCTTTAATTGCTGTTCTAAACCATAAACTGAATGAAAGGATAAAAATGGGCAAGTATCCAAAACTCAGAATGAATCTGAAGAAATCCTTTTATTGATGCRGTTATTTGTGTATGTATAATTCAGCAGTTGCTCTACACAGTAATTTACACTGCCTGGACAGTTGTATTTTCTGTTACAGAACAAAGCTGTTTCCAACACTCCAAGCAGAAAGCACCATTGAAACGATTTACTTTTGTGCATGTACACGGGGCAGAAGGAATAACAAAACCCCTTAGCTGSTCCTCAAAATTCTGTTTTTACAAATGCAAATTTGTGATAACCAGCATTAAAACTACAACAAAATCTCATTTCTCAAACTCATCCTCATGTTAAATTCTTTTCCACAGCATAAAAGCAGCAGAAGATTAATTTTAGTAACTGTACAGCTGTTGCTTGCTTGACTTGGTAGCTTGCAATTCAGCAAGGCTCAGTCCTGTGAGCTGCCCACAAGATAACTGTGCACCACCTCAATTACACCTGCACAATTAAGCTTCTCTCTCCTCCTCATCCGTGCAAGTACACAAAGATAATTACTGTCTTGGGATGCAGTTTGTTTGCTTTATTTCCACAAAGCCTTCTGCACAGAGCCACACAGAARGGCCTATGTTCCTCATGTTGTATCCTCTTCCCTCTGTGTGGCAACACAAAGCTCCCTGATTTCATTACATTTGCCAAAAGGAAACTTCAGAGTTGGGACTTTAAATTGCAACAATGTCACGACAAAAGAGAGAGAACCACATCTTCTACCACCAACACTAACTCTTTTTTTTTTTTAATTGTCAATCACTACTTATGAGTGAGAATACCTGAAGTCAAGAATCAATCATTATAACAGCAAAATTAAAAAAGATCACAACTCTTCTTTAAAACACGACAGTGTCTCTGAAGTACCAGTGGAGAAAAGGATGGAAACAAAAYTCCTGAATGGCAGGAATAAGCCTACGCAGGTCAGAGCCAACAACCCTCTGAGGATGAAACACTGTCAGGAGCCACCGGTTAATGCACCAGTGACAAAACTCAGTGACTGTACCTGGCAGCAAAGAAAACATCTGGACACTCCACCCTTGAAGACCCCAAATCATAATGGAGAAACTCMGAGATCCTTCATGAACCTAAGAGCTGTACAAGAAAGCTCCCCAAACATTCAAGTATCACAGCACATCAGATCTACTTGACTAAACACAGTGATCAAGGCTAGGGAAGGTTAAAAAAAAAAACCAACAGAGGTAGCAGTTTACCAGAACAGGTCATCTGCAGAGGAGCAGAAYGACTGCTCACCAGAGCAAGGCACAAATGCCACAAGCCCCAGCTCCTCTCCTTTAACGGAGGCTGAAGACCAGACTGGCAGAGGGAGAAAGTCCAAAGTGTCTGTCAGGGCATTAAACACACCCTGATCACCAACACATTTACACACAGGGCGAGTAAAGAAATCCTCTTTCTGAGTCAAACTGGYGCGGGCCAAATGTGATTCTTCATCTCCACATCTTTGCAGCAGCTATGCAGGGAAGGAAAAGCCACTCAACACAGCACAGGACTAACAAGAGCTGCAGCAGATCCTGCTCTCAGGAGGCCAAGAGCTCTTTACTCCCAAATCTGATGCTATGCCAGAGCTGCTGACTGCAAACATCTTGCCTCCCGTCTGTTTATCRCAAGGCAGCCGAGTTTTTAGGATGCCATAGGTCTCACTAATCACCTKTCTCAGGGAATTGATCAAAACACATTTTAGCATGGATAAAAACTGGGGGAAAGCTTGTGGATTCAGCATCTTCCTTATGGCTTCAGCATAGGCACATTTGAATAAACAGGTGAAGGATTTAAACATTTAATCCTCAACAACTTYTACAAGTGTTACATTCATTACAGTTTGCAGCTGGCGTCTGCTTTGGATAAAAGACCAGAAAGGTTTGGGATTTCAGCAGGAAACTTCGTGCCAAACATTGAAGAGGAAACATAAAGACTCTGCAGAATGAGATTCTACTTTTGCCAGGCTGTGTTCCCTGACAGGATACACAAGGGGATTCAAAACTGGAGTGAATCCTCTGCTGAGACACGTCTGAGTTATGGGCCATATGTTAAAACACCAAAATCTCCTTGACTGGAAACACCTAGGAACTGCCAGTGGATGAGCTGACTTGGGTTACCTCCTGCCACATCAAACTCTGTCACTCATCACCTTCTGTTACCAGAAATTTATCAAACTGAGAGCAAACTCATGCTACAAAAGAGACTCAGAAAAAAAAAAACCCAAGTATTTTTCAAACTGACCACACTGTTTGCCTCACCGTATTCTGCCCAGGCACATCCATATACTCCTGCCTCAAATTAGACAACATCCCAATGTTGCCATATACACTTGGCATGAGGTAACCTAGGCCAGAAGTGCTGTAAGTTTATCYACAAATACAAACCTTTATATTCTAACCTGAAAAAAAAGCACGAGAAGAAGAATGAGACTGACAGGTACGGTGTTACCAATGCTCTCACACTGTCTATACACAACAGGAGCAAGACAGACCTACTGGTAAAGTTATTTCATCTAAAATCGGGCTCATTTCCTYGGAATAATAATTTGGACCATGAAGTGACCACCAAATGTAGTCTCAGTGTCTTAAATCAGGCTTCAGGCATAGATAATTTGACATGAGAAAACTGTTTTGTTGTTGATTTAGTCAACATTAAAAATTGATACCCTGTGTAGTCTGGAATAGTAACAATGGCAAGAGCTGCTCCAGAGCTCTCAGGGAAAAAAGAGATCCCACGAATGCTCATACAAGTGCAGATTGCAGTGATCCACTCTGGAAAGGAATGATCACCAAGCCAAGAAGCTGAACAGAAATYGATTTAAATAAATAAGATGAATTATTACCTACCATTTTTTCCTGGTTTGTGTTAATTTCAATTTAATGATTAACAATTATTCAAATCATAGTCGAGATGCTTTTTCTGAATAAAAAAAAGTTCAGTGCTTCCTGCTTCTCTTTCAAAAAGGACTGCATATAAAACTTCCAGCACATTATAAGACTAGAAGTTGTAAAAACCTCTTTACAAATACTTCGTATAAAGGCAAATCCACCAAATGAAGGAAAAAAGGGCACAAATTCAATTTAAGATGTGTACATACCTTCACAAGTAAACCTGAATAATATTAAATGAGTATTGCACACCCCAAGTGCTTTTCTCTCACCCCAATTCATTATGCAACACGCTTTACACCAAACCAGAGCATGTACTGAGGGACAGAACAAGAAGTGCTGGGTACTCTTGCAGAAATAATGTATCTTACATGAGAGACTCAGCAGAAAACAAGAAAACCMAGCCACGTGAGGAGCCAACAGAGGGAATATTTGCCTTTGTGCAYTTATCTGGATTTGGAGATGTTTGTCAGGAGGCACATTTTTTCCCAATTTAAAATGAAATGCAAGTAGCTTAAAATGAGGCTGGTGATGACAGAAGGAAAGCACAATAGGTATTTATCTCTGTGATCAGATGGAGCAGGCAAGGGCTGGAAAGAACAATGTGCATTTGTAATCCCCTTGCCCAGGACCCCTCCAGACACAGCGGGGCTGCCTCCTCAGCACACAGGGAGCCAGACTCACCAGCTCAGATTCAGATGAGAAAGCTCCACTCGAGCCCTCTCAGCACAGGAACTGACTRTAAGAGCTCTTATTTTACCTTTTAACTACTAATGAAGTAGCACCTACTGGGAGGAAAATGAGAGAATAACTCAGTGAGTCAGTCAGTGGAGGAATTCTGCTCAGGACATGATCAGATGCCCAAGCTGGTGTGATGCAGAACAGCATCCAAAGTKGTTGTTAAACCTGCTCTACACATAGAAACTTTTTCAAATCAAAAGTGACATCAATTCATCACACTAATTTCATCATTTTCACAGGAATAACTTATTTGGAAAAAAAAAAAACCTAGAGAGGAATAATAAATTAGTAATTACCCTCATCTAGTACAAAGMACTACTTGTAGTCTTTATTTTCTTGCAGATCAGTAGCATATCTGAAATGCAGGTTTATTGAATTGTTCCAAGTATTTCTTTGAAATGTCAAAAAGTAACTGCTTATGAAAAGGCCCTCATACAATCTTCTTATGTTCTCAACAGCTAAAGTTTGCTGCCACAGTCAGGCTAATTATTTGTCAAAGCCTCTTGATCATATTAAATATGGAAAAAACYTCACAACAAAAGAAACGTAAAAGAAAAATTATGAATTGGTCCTATCCAAACTGCAAGGAACAATAAATCAAAGGGATGTTTAATAAAAACACCAAAAAATTTAAAATGCAAATGGGTAGGTTCTAAGAATACATTTAATTATTCATTTTGAATACAGTTTGAAAAATGTTTATAAAAAATTAAAAGCATTGATGCCTGACTTATTTTAACAAGAGCTGCAAACTCGCTTAGTTGCAGGGGAGCACCAATCCAAGTCTGACAGATTATCAGGATTCTGAYACCCACTGGGTGCAGATATTTCCTTCAGCCCCACAAAACACTGATCTCCTTCCACTGCTGGGAAAGCCCGCAAAATCAAAGATGTCCCAAGAGGCTTCAAGGGTGTTCTGGGAGATGCACTTTGATACCTTTTCACTGGGTTTCTGTCTCCCCCCTCCCCTAGTACAGATGACAGTTTGGCAGCGTTTGATTGTGCCTAGCTTTAAAATGAACTTCTAGAAATGGGAAGGAAAACAGAGCCATGAAAGCATGAATGACATAACAGCTCCAAGCAGGAGCATCCCAGGAGAACAAAAAGGTGAACACAAATCCCATCGACAACTGCTGCTGATGCAGCAAAGCCTTAGGTCAGAAATGTTAAGACTAAAGACTCTACACACAGAGGCAGGTGGATCCAGACTCTTTACAGCTCTGGAAACTATTCTAAATTAAAAGGGAAAGAGTAAGAACTAAATCCATATCAAAACATGAATCATGAGGAYATGACTTCAAGCAGGCACATATAAAATTTGTACACTCCTCAGAAAACAAAGTATTACAAGTTTTTCAGGTCTGTACAAGATGACTTTCAGCTGAGTAACAGGACTCTTTTCCCAAGCCTGTGGGCTGTTGGGTCTTTTCTCAAATGCAAGAGCAGATAGCTGTGAACACAGCATAAACAACTAATACCAGAAAACATGGCACAAAATAGAACATTCCTYAGAAACTGGGCTGCACCAGAAGTAATTTCTGATTGGTCACTTAAAATGCAAGACAGAAACTCCTTTTTTCCCTTCTACAGGCAGAGGACAGTAGTAATGATCTAATCTTTCAGATCTGCGAGGTTCAGCACAAGCTGGCCAGACAGCTGAGGGTGTGTGGTTAGCACAGGATCCGGGCTGAGACTGTCACACACCTCACAGGACAGCTTGGCACCCCTTCAGCAGCAGGGACCAGCTCCTCTGCTACCACAGCCAGCTGTGTGTCTGCACAACCAGACCYGTCAGGAGTCTCATAGATCACAAATTCCTCTTTTCACCTTGCTAGTGTGAGATGGCTCTGGGACAACACAATGCATTCACAAGTCTTTTTTAGCAAGAGGAAAAAAAATAGAAGACCTTCCAGAAGAGGGGCTTTTTTTTCTAAATTCAACCCGAACTAAGCAGCCCAGTATCACTGAAAGGGTTCTCTGCCCTACCCTCACTCTCTTCTGTATTTCATGTGTTTTGCAGTTATTTAGGGGCTGTTCTGTCAAGTAATTCCAGATTTTACCAGATCACAGAGTCTGAATGAACATGATCAAATAAGCAAAAGACCTGCAGAACAGCATTATGAAAACAAACGACTTTTACCTTCCTTTGTGAGGTCTTCCTCTCTCTGGCACCCCTGCAGACGTCCTCCTGTTCACAGTGGAGTAATCTGGATCCAGTTCATACCCTTCATCATCCACTCCAAGGCTGCGGTTGTCATCCTCCAGTCCGTAGGGCTCCGGCTGGAAGCGCTCCGGCTGAGAACGGTTCAGGTCCACGCTGCTGCCCACGGGCACCTGGGGCTGGGCAACGGGGCCATAGTTATCCCTCCTGCTGGGCAAGGTGAAGCTGCCATCATCAGCTCTGTAGGTGCCCCCTGGCACATAGGCATAGCGGGGCCGGTAGTTGACACCCCGGGACAAGCTGCCGTAGTTGTCCGAGAGGTCTCCGTAGCCRTCGTGGCCGATGTAGGGGCGGTACTGGCCCTCGTGGCTCTCGGGGTAAGAATCGTTGTAGCTGTTGTAGGATCGGGTCARGGTGGACGAGGCCTGGGGGGTGATGAAGCGCTCACCATTCTTCATGTACCTCCTGTCGATGGAGTCGGTGTAGCTGCCCATGGGTGACGAGCCGTCCATGGCGGGCAGCCCGTCCGGCCCCAGCGGCACCTGCCGCACTGTTCTCGTGGTGACAGTCTTCACCATTTTGGTAACCTGGCAGGAAGCAGGGAGTAAACATGTAAATGKTCTGCTCGCTGCATAATGGGGTGAGACACGGGAGCTGGAAGGGTAGAACAGGGAGAGAGCACAACAAAGCAAACTACAGTGACATGCCTGTAACACCAGTGTGCTAATSAACTCACCTCAGCTTTCGGAATGAAYGSTGRAAGARTACTTTGAGAARRGCACTCTGGGCTCTTACTACCAAAYCAAAACCACTGCAGCCACGTGACAGCACATGGAAGCAGTATAAAGTCATTAAAACAGTTCCAATTTGCACAAAATGTTTTCAGGAGACACCTGTCCTAGAGAAGACTTGTCATCTTGAGGAGCCACAGCCTGTCCTCTCACAGCTACAGCATAAATATCACATCACATTCTCTACATTAACAGAAATAGAGTTATGTGCTTCTGCATGATCTGCATMAAGTCTGCAGCACTGTGCAATTTTATGGAGTTCAAATTTGGCAGTAATATTTAGGAAACCATGATCTCAAACAGAGAAGTTTGGGGCTTCAAGACTCTGGACAACACCATTGCTTTCTCTTTTAAGACATGTTTGTATCCAGCAACCATCACGCAAGCCCAAGAGGTGTTAGCTGTCACTATTTTGGTGACTAAYGAATTTGCAATAATTAACACTAACACCACAATGTTTTTGCAATTGCAGCTACCTAAACATACTAGACAAGCTTGTTTAAAACAGTGAAGAAAAATCTGTGTAGAAATACAGCATTATATTTACTTCTGTAAATCTCATTTCATTCCAAAACAGAATTCACAGAAAACAGAAATGGTAACTGTCCAGAGGGCYCTTGTGTTCAGGGCTTCTTGCTGAAGGGTAAGAACAAAGACTCCTTAAAACTTTGCAAGAACCATCTTGCCTTTGTGGATGTGCTGGACAAAAGCCACTATATTTGCAAACTAGCAAAAGGCCTTCTGTTTGGGTTGGTATCTGGGATCCATCAGCTTCTGCACTGTTATTCAGAGTGACCAGCAAAAGGTSTTTTGGGAAGAGTAAGAAGTCCAGCAGATGCCAGGCTATCCCTGATAACCTTAACTCTAACAAAATTACTTTAACCTATAAGAAGTTACCTAGTAAGTGCTGACTTTTCAGCCCAACCAAGCAACAAAACAGCACATCCACAGATGAGAGGGGAAATCAACCCACATGACATCATCACACACACAAAATTGGTAAAAGGTATTTTAGGTTTCAAGGTATTACAGACATAAATAAGCATCAGCAAAGGACACTTCATGTAAGTCTCAGAATGAAATGCTACATTYAAGGGAAATGTTAACCACAACATGTATCCCTGGATTGCTCAGTGGCTCTGAAGTCCAAATAAATGTTTTGACCTATAGACTCCGATTTAAACATTTAGATTGGCAACAGCTTAGCCAAGCTGCTGCAGAACAAAATAATTAAGAGTACATCTCTTGAAGTGGCTCCAGACATGTCCTCTAACCAGATGTTTTCACACAGAAACCCCAAACAGAAAAAAGATTCACCCAAACAGCATTTCTTCTCCTAGACACATCTGTGAGCAAATGATACTTCAACATAATGAAGTAATGAAATCCTGCAAGACTGAAWGCAGCACAAATGCCTCTCCACCAGCAGTGTAATTAACAGCAACACGATACTGAACACAGCACAGCCAGGTACCAACRTGACCTTGGGATCTAATTTGAGCCAGAGGTGAAAGAATTTTCCTCTTCAACACAAAGGGATTTCCTTAGCAAGTAAACATCAGGAAAGATGTTATCTTCCATGCCTCTGAATATTTTCTCTCTTTTTTCAAAACACGCATTTTAATAACGAAGAAAGGGAACTAGAAACTCAACATTTATTTCATGATATCCAATCCAACAGGGGTTTGTGCTTGTTACCTGTGCACAATCCTTCTCCTTTGCGCTCAGTTGTCAGCGTGACCGCTGCCACGGCATTTATAAACTCAGCAGTGAGAGGAGAGAAAGAGCTGGCTGAGTTTACAGTMGCTCTTTGTGAAGTGGATACACACCAAGCAACACAGCTCAGTGTTCTCCTACTGAAGTCTCAAACAATACTTTTATTCAAAATAGCACATTCATAAGTGATCTTCTAAGAACACAAAAAGCAAGATTTCTCAGGCTTGAAATATGTGAGATCTGCAAAGCCATGACAAAACTGGATGCAGAGTGCTGGGCCTCTGTGTTCTTGAGTTTGGGAACCAGKAATGGGAATAACAGGAATTAAGGTAGGACGTCAGCAATTTGATGAATCAGAAATGGATACTTTTGCCTGGAAAGGAACAACGGAGCCGCTTTCTAATGCCAAGAAGTGCCCTTGCATAACCTCTCAAAGCTGTTTCTTTCAGCACTATACAACAAATCCAAGCACTGCTTTTTGGACGTGAGCTGTCATGTTGCTCAGTTCGTCACGTGTCATTTTTCCTGAAGTTGTTAAAATCAGACAATGGGAAATACTGAATACATCTCTGACTGCAGCAACAGCACGAAAAAAGGAACACCTCTGACCTGCAGGATCAGGTCCACCTTCAGCAAAAACTCTGCTCAATGGTATTGGTAAACAAACAGAGAAACACTGCAGCCAGTGCTGTCTCCAGTCTCCAGTAGTTACTACATGTATACAAAAAACATGAAGCAGGTTTTCAGATCACTGAAAATCAACTCCTACACAAYGTGTGACCTACCACTTACACTTACTGAGATTTTCACCACGCTCTGGCACTCTACAGAGTGTTTACAGGGATTTGTTTTTTTAGTTTAAATTACCAACAGAGAATGCAAGATATCCATTTGCAGTTTATACCTAATTTACCCGGTTTTCCTGGCTTTGAGACTAGCACAGACAGGCTTTCAGTGGCTGTGGCTCATCAAAAAGCCTCACTCRGTGTCAGGCAGCACATGTAAGAACAAGTTCACAATGTTAGCATGGTTTTACCTCTTATTATTTTCTGATCACTGCATCCAGCAGCAAATGCAAAGGATCAGGACAATCAAAACCCCCTTGTCACACGCRTAAAAGGGAACATTTCACTCAAGCATTAAAAGTACACATTTCTCAGAGCACAAAAGCATTCAGTAACACTAAAGGTGTTATACTGGGGCAATCAAACAGAGTCATTTTCTATTTTGAGAGAGAGGGAGTATTTGCAATCATGCCTCATTTGTCAGGGATAGGCATTGAGATAGATTCATCATGTGATAAACAGACTTTGCTGCTGACAGGACAAATAAAATGAAGCTTTTTGGAAGCAATTAGCCAGCACACAGATGAAGGTCCATTTAATACGTTTCCAAGCAAAAGAAGAAACCCAACCAACAAACCAAACACCTTTATTTCAGGAAATCCTGCTCAAGGGAATGTTTCATTTGTATTTCTTAAAAGAACACAGACAATCTTGAGCAGCTGACAGCACTGTAATCTTCTCTCCCAACATTTTTGTGGTTTCCTTTCTCTGACGCATTAGCCAGAGAGAGTGAGTCTATTCCAAATGGGAGTCCCAGCAAACGGCCTTATCTTGAGAGACACCTGATCCTCCAGATGCACCCAACCTTTAACAAGATTTATTAGCATAAATTCCTCGCTGCAGATATGCTCTAATAAAAAATTCAGAGTTACAAGTTACTTTGAGAAAGTGTAATTTGACTTCCTCTGTTTACTTTTCAACCCTAAAGAAAGAAAACCTGGGTAAAATGTTTTTTTTTTAGTCTGCTGACAAATCAAAGATGCTCAATTGTTTCAATGCCCAATCTCAGAGTACCAGAGGAAAGCTTCTTTGCTTCTCTATGAAGAGGCTGTGTGAGTATGCTTAAAACATATTTGGAATTCTTTATTCCTTSTACAGACACTAACATTTCAGCTACAGTACTAAAAAAATCAATATACCTACTAGTTCAGGCCCTCTGTGATACTTCAAGTCAGTGCTTTCATTGCTGCTCTCCACACCCCGAAATCTAAGTGCCCTTCAGGTTTACTGATCTTACCATTGTCCACACCTCCCCAGTAACAATTATTTAATTAAATAATTCCCATACAGACCCCATGATGTTGGTTCACTAATTCTATTTCTAGAAATACATTTGCCAACAGAACATAAAGCAAATATGCACACATTTGAAATAGTTTCTGTATTTTTCTATCCCTCATGCTACTATTTATCTAGAAGGATGAGGGAACAAACATGAAACTCTCCAACAACTGGATTTACTGGCTGCATGCGCACATGGCACAAGTAGCTGCCTGACCCTGCTCAGCCACAGAGGAGTAAAGACAGTACAAAGATTTCTGTGGAGCTGGGCTATCGTGGCCAAATGCAGTCATCTTAACCAGCACCTATAATTCTGCCTTCCATTTTGGTTTTGAGGTTGGTTTTGTTTTGCCTTTAATTACCTTTTCTTTTTTCAATGAATTAAGTTAATTATAAAGGCTGACTGGGCTAACAATTTTGTGGAACAGTCGTAAACCCAGAATCAGATGAGAAGGAATGCATGAGGATATAAACATCCTGACATTTATGTGAGCTTATTTTTGAACTAAGGACTGTAAATTTTATCAGCCCATGCAGGCTGAAGCTATTACCTTTCTATTAAATGCTSTGTAAGAACTTGCCTTGTAGGTTTTCAAAAAAAAACAGCTGAAATTTCTCCCCTTCAATTTTAAGCCTGATGTTTCACAATTYGAAAGGGTCCTCAACTGTGGCTGAAATCCATTCCTGCTCTATTACCYAATTCCTTTGAATTTCCTGCAAAGTTCTGAAGAACTGCCTCTTGGGGTACCTGGCACCAGCACGACACAGAGTTTTGGTCACAAGCACTTTCTCATCACAGGTGTTAGGAAGTGGGAACAGCACTTAATCCCTGTTGGGAAAGATCTGGACTTGCTGAGAGAAAATCTCAAGAAAAATGGATGGTCTACAAACTCAAGAATTTTGTACACAGATTGATTTCACAGTTTGCTATGATAAAACATCAATTTCAATGAGTAACAGTGACCTAAATCTCTCCAATCTTTTGGCATTTCAGGCATTTCAAAGACAGAAATAAAAAGTGCCTGAAAAAAGAAAAAAAGTGAACATTTACACAAGCACATACACATCTAATTTGCTTTACTGAGTTCTCTTGAGCCACTTACAACAGAKTCCCTTTAACACCTGGCAGTGCTCCAGCCAGCAGCAAGAAGRGGAAGTCTCTCCCCAAGGTGACTTTCACTGTTTTAGCTTGATAGGTATTTGGCTTCCAGAGATATTATAAAGTTGAAATGAAGTGTTATCTGCTACATCTTCTGTGCAATGAATGTTACGTAGGGACTTAGTGTAACACTAAAAGARTAACAGGTAAGGGGAAAATTACTCAGAGATCTCATTTTGAAAAGGCAGATGTTCTCTATTTAAAATATGTCAAATATTAAATTCTATTACGCCTTCTTCCTGCTTCACTGCTACAGGCATTTTCAAAGATGTGGGGAAAAGCACAGCAAAACTGTCAATGCATCTAGATTAAGGTTGTTTACTTAATACTCTATTGAAAAGAATAACCTCTATAAATTACGGGTTTGAAACAACRGGGGAAGGAACAGGGAATAAAGGAACAGCAGCATCTAGGAGCATTCATGCTTACAGCCTCTGCTGTGCTGCATTTCAAGAGGAGGAATTTCAGAGGCATCCCTCACCAGCAAGCTTGAAATTCACACCATTTAGCAAAAATAAGTGACAGTTTCTTCTTAACAATCCAAAAATGCATACTAAATGGAATTAGGTTGACTAATCCCCACATAAAAAAAAAAAAAAGCAAAAAAAAAAAGAATACATTTGGAAAATATCTCTGGTCTCTCTAACTCTTAAAAAAAACATGACCTGTGTTATTTACTCTGTCAGAGGAAGTATCTGGTGCTGCCACTTTCTTTGCAAGACAAATAAGCTGGAGATAGTGACTGACACTGTCCAGTAGAGCCTTTTAGTCACAGACATAACAAAAACAAGTTCTAAACCCTTCCTTAAAGGAGCCTGGAGCAAGCACAGCAATGCAGARCATAAAAGGYTATTGCTCAGAGTGAAAAGAAAAKMTGAGCACAAGCTTACCCCCTCTGAGCACCGTGTGACCATCTCAGCTTTACACACTGGATATTACTGAAAAAAGATGTGAGGATTCCCACCATAGGAAGCTGCTGCTTCACAAGGGCAAGTACCACCTGCACACTGAATGCAAGGCCAGATTCATGGGTGGTTTTTTGGTTTGGTTTGTGTGTGTGTGTGAGGGGTGCTCATCTTATTAGTACCATTTTTTATTTCTTTAAATCTGTAGGAAACAGGCAGAGACACAAAACTGCAGGTTTTGGGGTCGACATGCCCTACTCGTGCAAGTGGATGTCCAGTAGCCCGGTGTTTGCACCTCCCATGCCAGGGACATTTCTTCATCACCCTCTACTGAGCAGCAAAGTCAGAATGCGACCACTGCACCAAGAAACTTCATTTTCTCTGTAAGGCTCTCATATATAATAGTGTGAGCTATGAAAGCATCATGATGATACCTATTAGAAATTATAGTGTCAATGACAATTAACTCCAGGGCAATTAATTGATGTGCCTAAGCCCCAGTGACACAGTTTTCATTTTCACAGTCCCTACCAAAACAAAACGCAAGCTGAAAGCCTAAGTGATGTAAAAAAAAAAGAGTAAAATCTGACCTGAGATTAGGTAAGAGCTGTTAAATATATGTCATGTTATCACAGCAAAGAGAAGTCAAAACAGAACCATTTTACAGAGGTGACAACAACCCCAGCAAAGTTTCAGCACCTCTTGTGACAGGGCTAAGCCAGGCTGTGTTTTGACATTTCAAAATCTCTTTCCTCAACAACCGGGTTTTCAAAATTTTTTAGCCATGAATTACAGGGAAACAGCTCTGGATGGTACATAAGCTGAAGTCAGTGGCATTTTTTGAAACAACACAAATGGAGAATAGGAYGGCCACGCATCCTACCCCCATTCTGGACACACTTCAGTGCCTGCAATGACCTACGGAACAGAAGAAAGCCTTGCTCTTTGAAATGGAACAGTAGCTGCAGGGTTGCTGTTTTTTCAATTTTCCTTTCCCATATGCAGCTACAATGCCTGTTTTGAAGCCGCCACTGTCCTTTTCTGTGGGAAGATGGGAAAATAGGAGGTCCCCGACCCAGAGGAGAAAAYTGCACCTCTGAGGCCGTGACAAACACAGAGCTTTTATCAGTGGCACGACTATTTCAGACAAACTACTTCACTCCATGTGGTCCTGTTATCTAGGGACCACTGCATGGCCTCTCCTCTATTTTTACAGTCATAGCTATAATCTTATTCCCTTGCATAGCTGCACTTACAACCTCCTAAAACTATGCACTACTATTAGTGCATATAAAAAGGTGTCCATCCCCACTGTAATTTTATCACTTCCTTCCTGTAAATAACAGTTGTTGTTGCTGCCACTAGAAAGAAAACAGCATTTCTTTCATGCAAGTCATAAACTAAATACACTAGATTACTTGAAGAGCTAAGAAAAATTGGGGTTTTTTTTGTTCAAATGTTTTATTTAAAGACCTTCATCTCCTTCCAACAATGAGAAAATAGGCCAGTTATATTTACCTTCTAACTAACTGCAACAAATAATAAACMAGATACTCAGTTTATTATAATGTGTAAAGGCCCACTGACCTCAGGAAATCAACAGTCATTTACTTCAACTTGAGGATCTGATGTCCTGAATAGGTATCTTAGAGGACTGCAATTCTGGAACACCAGTGAAAATAAACACTGATTTATGCAGTGACCTCTATTCAAYTCCTTTTAACACAGAAAGCAGTTGGACAATCCTCCCCTTTCTTTTTAGATCAGTCTTATTTAGAAGATTTTTAAAAGGGAATCACCCTTCATCTTTGTAACGTTCCAGTGGTACTGAAAGCATGCAAGGCAGCCCTGAACACAGAGCACCTCCTCAACAGAGATTGCAAAAATTACCTTGCACAAAGAGCATGAAGATACCAGGAAAATTAGARCATTAGCAACACCTGTAATCCAGCCAAACCTGAGGTACAGGATACTTCAGAGCACACCCAGCTTTCCCCATACATCAGGAGCAAGATGCCATTCACAAGACTGCAGCAGAATTTAAATACTATGGTGTTATTTGCATAGGCTGTTTCTTGCTCTAAAGGACAAATGCATAAYCACATAATGTTATTACAGATTGTCATTAATTTAAGACATATTTCCAAGCATATTTTCCTCAGCCAAGCCCTACCAACTCGTCAATTTTTGTATCAATGTATTTGTTTGCAGGGCAAGGCTGTGAACTGCTGTGAACAGTAGAATAAAGTGAATGTTAAAAAAATAAGCAGCCTGAGAAGAGGTTCTAGTGTTCTTGTTAGGCTAACCTGGATATTTTCTACTTCTCAGTTCACAGCTCCATAAGCAGCTGTATCAGCACAGCTGATAGGGAGCAATCTAGACACAGAGGTGAAACTGAAAAAGCCCTGAACTCAGCTTTGCTGCCCAACACAACATTCAAAATCACTCAGGATCACAACAGCATGATTGTCATCACTCAGGCTACTCCCTGCTATTTCTACTCCATGATTAGATGGCACTTTGCCATTTCCCTCAGTGGTTGTTAACCTCTCACCTTGGTTTCAGTTCTCCTCGTGGTTCCATCTTCAGAAGTGACAATAGACACGTGGGAAGTGGGAGTGCCTGGGTCTTCCTCCACAGTAACTGTCTCTTCCACCATTTCTTGAGGCTCTTGCATCATTGCTATTGAAGTCTGGTTACTGGGGCTTTGTTCCTAAAGAAGCAGGTAAAAAAAAAAAAAAAAAAAAACTTGTCACTTCTACCATCGTGGTGTAACTATTCATATAACAATTTCAGCTTCTTTGACTGAAAAGAACACATTTAAACCAACAATTTATAGGTACAGATTCAGAGAAAGGAGCATTTCCTGCCTCAGAAAAGCTTGCTGTAACTATGCTGGTATGACTGGGCTCAGTGCAGCAAATAGAAATCATGTGAATCATCTATCAAGTACTACATATTAATAGGCAACAGACTAACAGACTACTGTCTTATATTTAAATCTGCTTGAAGCTTTCTCTTCAATGCCCAGCATAGGAGGAGTGGAATTTTTGTCTGCAAAAGCATCCTTTCAGTTGTGCAGTGAACAGACCCACTGGCTTTCAGAGCAGTTAATCTTACACACCATTGAAAATTCCTTTTCATTTGATAAAGTACACTCAGTTGGAGACCAGAGAAGGCTATAAAACATCAACACCTACAATTAAACAGACACCTTTCTCAAACTGTCCAGCAATGATAATTAAACCAAAAATGYATGGCTAGAGATTAATTAGGTGAAATGCTTCCCTTCCCACATCTTTACTAAGTCCATAAGGTTTAACTGGCTACAAGCTTATTTAAAGTTTGTAACAGATAGACAACATAATGAAAACTAAACAGAAAGGGAGATCAAAGGCGGGTTCTTGCAGGGATACTGCCCAAAGAGAACGCTCTGCTGCCCGCCAGCACCAGCATCTGAACCYTCCTTTTTCTTATGCAATTGTGTGCTTCAGCACAGAAATCAGAGAAGCTCCCTTTGGTAGATGAATGTATTTCAGAAGTTTCCCAGCAAGCGGCCAATAAAGAAGCAGCTTACACACTGAGAACTCAGCCTTTTGCCCAGCATTATGAATCCTCAGCCACATAAATGCAGTGACAGACTGATCATTTCATTAGGAGCCCGGAAGGTATCTGGCTGCACAGGCTTTAAAGCCAATGCAGGGCTTCTGTGGGCACACCTGTCCAACAGACACTCAAAGAATATCCTTTATTAAGGATTATAAATGTACATATACACACATTTTTACACACATTTTAAAAACAAAAATAAAAAAATCCAAGAAGAACAACAGAGAGACCAAAACTGCAATTTGAACACGCATACCCTAAAAAAAACCTCTGGAAAATCCACACTACATCACAGGAAAATAAAAAGGGTTGGGACAAAAACTGTTGCAATAGAGGTGCTCAGCCTAGTTACATAAAGGTTAAAATATTCTCTGCATGTGAATGGCTTCATCACCAGGGAACTACAACACTACATTTGGTATCATTTTACAAGAAACACTGCATTTCAACCCAGCTAAAGCCTTTGCTGTGTCTTCCCCTTTTGCTGTGCCGTGTTTTGTGCAGGCTCCCAGTGACCTTATGCTGCTGAGGTCTCGATAAGATCCACATCYAATTCTTGCAAGATCTATAACGTCCCTTTAAACAAGCTAAGAATGCCCCTGTTCAGTTTTCCTTTATTTACAGCTGTATTCTGACCTCCTGGAACTCAGACTTCAGTAAGGAAGCCACTCTCATTTTCAGGTAAGCACTAATAYTAACCAAAACCATGACAATAAGCCCCTGGCGATCTCCTCAGTCAAAATGCAACACCGACAGCCTTCAAAGGTAAGGCACCAGAGGTGATACAAGCAGGCACTGCTCCCATTTCTATTGAAATCACAGAATAACTCAGCTTACAGAATCAATCAGCGAGAATAAGGCTTCTGAAATCCTAAAGAAAATCACTCCTTCCAGACTCAGTACTCAGGTCATTAATGGCAAATAACTTATGATACATGCTGAATTCTTTATGGTAGAGTTCAGATGTCTCATTGTGTCTTCTGCGCACGGCTYCGGAAGGGGAATTTGCTCCTGCAAYAAATACATTTTTCTCTTCACATTTTTCTTGAAGATATTGTGTTATAACTGCAACTCCCTTTCTCACACCCCACAGTGAAGCTTTCCTCCAAAGAGAATAATTTACACAATACTGCAATACAGTAGAGACTCAGAACTTCTAATCACCTTCACGCAATTAAACCTTGCCAAGAACAAGGAAACCAGTTCCATGTAGAGGGTTTTTGCATAACACCTTATCCCTGTAAACCCCACCACCAAATGCCAAAAATGCTTCAAGGTGGGATCTTCTCCCTCCTCTCACAGATGTATGTACAMACACAGCACATCCACAACCTCCACTTCCAACTGCACTTGAGATGCTGGCATCCCTTTGTTCCTCTTCACTTTAYAGAGGCTTCATATCTGATTTCTGATAATAAACCTGAGGAGATGGAAGGTGGAAAGAAATACTTTGTTCTTCGAGCTTTTGCAATACTTTTTCTTTATTAAAAAAAATATRAAGTCTGCCTTTGTATTCAGGCTGCCTGTGGGCAAAGGAAACCTTAAAAGCTGGGCACTGAAACATGAGCAAATTGCAAGCTAGAGCATATTGACTCTAAATGAGCATTGTGCTGGGTTTTATCCTCTGGCTGCTTCTAAAACGAAGATTCAGGGCGATATGGTACAAATCTACATTCCTACAGGAAAACACCATTGTTAGAAAGAGACTGTCCTAAGCATCAGAGAGCCTAAAAGCTTGCCAAGTTCAAGGCAGATAACCCAACAGACAGGGAACCAGACTGCATCTACTGTGTTTTCCTGAGGAATGCAGTGAGATGACAGCCCATCACCCAGCTCACTCCTGAATTACCTGAACCAGCTGCTTCTTTGATCTCCAAACGCAGTACTTTCTCTACTTGGAGTTGTCACAAACTAACATTAATGTAGAAAAGATGCAAAGGTTTTGTTATCTGTTTTTAGACTCCATCATTAAGGATTTTAGGTCRTCACAAATTGCAGAAACTGGGACACATTACCCCTTTCAACTGCTTCCTCTGTGCTCAGCTTCTGAAGGCAGTATTTAGGGCGCTCTGTTTTGCTACATACACCTCAGCATCTCAGATTCCAAACATTTGGCAGGTAGGCCTAATTATTCAGAGTAAACCACAAGTTGCTGGATCAGGCTGGAACATGACACCCCTAATGAATAATGCTACCAGTAGTTCCCTGCCTGCCTGAAGGAGGTTAATTCCAGTTCAGAACAACACACATTCATTAACTTCCTGGGGGCTTTCAAAGCAAARGCAACCAGATTATGAAACACAACCGAATTATGAGAACAGATTCCAGTGCAGTTATTGCATGTGGTGTCAGTAGTCATGACTTTTGTTTTTACTTTTGCTTTTCTGAGACCAAATGAATTCTATCCTGTTGATTTGTGCTTGCATCTCCACTGTGCTTTAAAAAAAAAACATGCTATTTAAAACACAAAGCAACAATCAATTTACCTCCAGCCTGTGAAAGTTAAGCGCAGATGAAACAGCTAAGGACCTTGTAAAATAAGCAAGAAACATAAAATAACAGTAATTCTTGTTTTGTTAAAGAACAGTGATTTATCATTTAGGGCACATATCTCCTAGGGCTTATTTTGCATTAGAATACTACAGCTTCTGTAATCATCACCATTTCAATTCCTAGCGTTATATTTCCATCAAAGTAGCTATTTTCTATCTGTTTTAATAAAAGAATAACCTCCCCCAGGAGGATCAGACATCCTACTTTAAGACAGTAAACAAAGTTCTTTATTCTCTGTCTATGGAACAATTTTAAACAGTCTGGAAATAATATAAAATTGCAGGAGATTATTATTTCCACTAAAACAGTCCCTCTTCMAGAGCACTGAAATCATGTACATCGAATCATCATTCTCCCCAAGATCCCCTTTGTTCAGAAGATTGCAGGGCAGGCTATTCCMGCTACTCCTTACTCCAGGCTACTGTCAGAGACCAAATTTGAAGGTTTTTGCAAAGCACAAAGGCTGGATTCTRCATCAGTGGACACACTTGTCCTCAGCCAACCCCAGCAAAAACAAAGCTCAAGTGTATCAGCTCCTGTGAAACAAAAGTCTGGGCATAATTAATGGCATTGGACAACAATGCTAATTGAATTAAATGTGGATTCTCTCTCCTCTACTACTCTGTTTTAATTACTTATTAAAGCTTCAATCTCKGCAAAGCATGAGATTATTTCAAGAGTAAAGCAAGCAAACACTACTTTTGCCAGAGTCAAGTCTCAGGCTGATGTCCTGCCCCAACAATCTCCTTCCCACTCAGGTCTGCACTCCCAGCTCAGTCATACCTTCAAGCTTTTGCTGAAGGCACGTGGAGGAAGACACAAAAGGCAAGTCTGCAGGAACACAGCAGCTGAGAAAATCTGTCTTGAGATCAGATTGGGACATCAGAGAGGAAGGAAGTCACTGGTGGAATTTGTTGAACTTGAGTATTTCTGGTAGATGTTTTCCAGTAAAAGATCCAACTCCCCAACAGCTGAAAACTCTCAAATCTGGTTATCACAYCCTCCTGCCTTGTCAGACCACCCTTCTTTCACCCCAGCCTCAAGATTCCTGCTGTGCTCTCTGTCCTGATTTGTCCTGAGAGCTTTTTGTGCATCTCAGCAGTGCCAAAGCTGGACTCCAGGCTCAGCAGCTCGTGCCCACCACCGAGCTGGTGTCACCTGGGGGGCAGCAGTACAGGCGACTGTCCCACTCTTTTCAGTTTGTTCTTCAGAAAGGTGAACCCTCACACACTGCAGAGCTTRCACTGTGCAAGGCAGGGCACCTTCTGCAAGCACATGGAGACCTCAGCTCAAGGACAGCCACAGGCTGGTTCCCCAGTTCAAACAACACAGCAAGGTCCAGGTCTTCACCAAGCCAGACCTACCCAAATTCCTCATGAATGGGGAAACACTGTCTCAAAACTGGGATCCAACGATGACACATTCAAGCAAAATGGCTCTAGAACAACAAAAAGCAYGTGGACCAGCCTGTACCTAAAACCAGGCAGCACAAGGTGCTGGAAGGAGACAATGTCTTAAATATGGGAATACATAAATATCTACTTTGTTACAGATAAACTAATCTCCATTTAGTAAACCTACTTGCCTGTTTTGTCATGTGAAATGAAGGGTGTGTTTTATATACATAAATCTATCTCTGTATTTATGCATATGTATGTATACAATGGATTCAGCACACTTCAGGGTGAACCCACACACATGAACCTATGGGAAARCTTCAAGCTCTGTTAGAGCTCTGACACAAGCTCTACCCTAAGGCTGCTCAGTTCAGAACAGAAGGGAAATGTTCGCCCCAAATGAAAGCAGGCTGTGCTGGCACAGGGTACCAGAATGAACTCAGCCCCACACCACAATGCACTAACTGTTTCCTGAACACTTACACACTTCCTTTGTCCTTCWCAAACACACACAACAAGCAGCGAACAAATAATGCCAAGAGCTTTTAAAGCACCAAGGTTAAAAGGAACATTTCAGCAACTGGAAAAAACYCTCAGCTACAAAAGTTTTGAAAAGCCACAAACAGGAGTGGGGTTTTTATGGAAGCAGGCATGGTAATTCACCCTTTGAAGGCATCACACCTTTCAGGGAGAGCAAGAGGCGGAGGTGGAGGAGAAGGAATCAAAACCCAGACAAGGCCTGGAGTAGCAAYATTCATCCCTCAAGTACACTGGGGTTCTGTTCAGCCACGCGGTAGCTGCCCATCAACAGGGAAATCCAGAGCCTGCCCAACGGTCAACAAAGAGGGCTTTTATGCTATTTTAAACAATCTGAAGTGTCTCAGTTAATGGAAGACCGGGCAATTGGCCCTCAACTATTTCTAATTGACTGGAATGATGGATGAAGCTAAAGGGAAAGCTGACCCACTGAACTTTTCCATACAAAGCTAGGAAACTGAAGGAGATTGTAAACAGTTTATAAGAACGAGAAGTGGGAGAGGCAGAATCCCAGGGGCTTTGCTCCTCTCAACCTGCTGTTAAGTTGTTTCAGAAGAAGGAAAACAAAGAGCTTCAACTCTGAGCAACAAACAAAAAATACAGGGGAAGGCCTAAACAAATAGGGTATTTTTCCCATGCTCTCCTCCCCTTTCTCCAGGAGCTGCTTAGCTCTGCCATGCAAGCTGGTACTKTGAATCAGAAAGGGCAATTTGTCACTTTGACAAGGTGCCTCTCAGGGCTCTCTATTGCCTTGCCCTGCTTTTCAGATTGACTGGGTATTAACCAAGGATGTCAAGACATTACATCTCAGTCAACTTCAACAGATGTGATGATATATACTTAAAACTTCCATGTTAATCAGTGCCACTACATTGAAGTAATGCTCAAGAAACCACACATGCCTGTTGATTTTCTGAACAAAACCATCACAGCAGCTTTTGCACTCAAAGGGCAACAGCTCTGCAATGTGACAGAGCTGTATGTGCACCTCAACGGATCCTGGGAGGGAACACTGAGGACATGCTGCTTCCAGATGGGGAAATGGATGAGTAACAGGTTCAAATTCACAGTATCTAACTTTAGGCAGCTTAGCAAGATATCTAAATGCAGAATAACTTAATTCTTTCCCTTTTGCAACAAAGAAGAGTAGGAGCCTCAAAGAAAAATTCAGATCTTGCACAGACTAAATCGTGTCCTTAGACACATCCAGCTCTTGCCAATTCTGCGGGGAAATGATAACAAGTGCTTCAAGAAAGCATTAAAGCTGGAGGATGAATCCGGGCCTMGAAGTCCCAATATAAGTACTTTGTGCAGAACCCAGAACGCGACAAGCGTATCACAAGTCATCATTCAGTCCCTTAGTCACAAGCCCTTTTTATCCCAGTAGTTCAGCAAGATCAGTAGTAAAATAGAAGCATAAGACATTATTTGCAATATGAAAATGATACAGGCCAAAAAAAAATCCAAATCCCAAAAAAGAAAGAGCACCTGGCACACACAGCTCTCMTTCCCTTAACTGTCGACAGCACAGCCAGTGTTTATCTGGACACTCTGCCCACTAGGAAACTGAGCAGGAAATGACTGTTTCTCACCATGATTTGTACAGAGAGTTCACTGCAATTTGCCAAAYTACCTCCCAAAGATAAATACAATGTACATCTGCATGCCTAATTTTTGACCAAACCCAAAGCAGACCTGACTGGCTTCCTCTCTGGAGCCATTCAGATGAACGAACTGAGGCTAAATTAGGGAGACTTTCAGTGGATGAGGTTACATCATAGATTATAATTTTCCAGCAAGTTTTTCCCTTCATCTCCACCTGCTGCCTCTACAACGCTGGCATTATGGGTGGTGTTGGATGACTAATTTTACATTCCTTTCTGCAAGACAGGCATTCAGATTTCATTTCTTCTAGRCCCCACAGAGTTTGGATCACAAATTAAATGGATGCATGTATTGCTAGGTATCAAGTCCACAAACTTACATGCACATGGGAGTCAGAAGTACAAGCTATGTCCTTCATCTAAAATAAAAAAAAACAACTGTCAGTTTGGCAGGTGAGAGCAGAACGTTTCTTTAYGCAGTTTATGTGTCCCAGTCTCTAACCCAGCCACCTTCACACATCCTCAGGGAGTTAAACCAAAGCGTGCCAGACCCAGTCAGTTCCAGGTTAATGCACACACCCACTTGCACGGCTACAAAACTACCTTAGAGAATTGCTTTTAACTCKGAGGCAGATGCAAACCATCTCTGCATTCTTTGAATTACGACCAAGGCTGGAGCATTATGTGAGTGTCCACGGAGCCATATCARATCAGTGTTAAATTTAACTCATCTCCTCACCCACCCACAATCTTGCCGGTACATCTGAACTATGCAACAAAAATGCTTTCTGTGGAAAAACACACAAAAACAAACCAAGCAACCAAATGAAAACAAACCAAAAAAAAAAACCAACCAGCTTTTATAATCCTGAGGGAAACAGAACAAACAGACCACTGATGATTTTTAAGCCTGCATTCCAAGAAAGCTACTCCTTAAAATAAATTATTTCTTATTCTGGGGAATACAAAGCRATTGACAATAAATCCAATCAGCTGTCTCACAAGGACTGTGCCTGCCAGTGTCTCCCATTATTAAGCCCCAGAGCAGGTCTGCTTGGCAGYGAGGCAGCAGGGCTGTGTCAGCCCAAGCAGCTCCCCAGGAGGTTACCCCTGTTAAATCACACACTCTGCATCTCGCCCCATCCCAGCCCCACACCGAAAGCCATGGGCTGAACAAAGCACAGCGGGAATGTGTGAACAGCCTCTCAGTGCTGGGTAACCCYAGAGAGCAGAAATGGGACAGCAGCAAAGGAACTGTGCGGGAGGTCTCCGGGTAACCACAAGTCCATTGGAACACCAAAAGACACAAGTCAACAAAGCCAAAAGCAGCTCCAACTGCTGTAAATCTTCCAAATGGAAGAGATTCCAGCAAAAAGACAATTTTCCCAAGTGCAATGCARTTACTGTGCTATTTCAACTACCCAAGAGAGTTCACTGATGGCTTTTTGTCCAGTAGTCTGTTTACTTCACAGGTTTTCTGTTTATTCCCTACAACTGACCTTATAACCCCTACTTGCACATGGCCAGCCCTCACACTCTGGTAAGAGAGCAGTGCCTGTGCTAAGCTCATGCTACACTAGCARTAAACAATATGGAAAAAAAARRAAAARRRRAAAAAAAAAAGATGAAAGTGAGAACTTGGATATTGGGGAAAATGCTGACTAAGAACCTGTTCACTTGCCATACTCACAGCTGTGGAGGGCAGCTGCAGCAGGCTCAGAGCACAGCTAACAGAACAGCCAGAGAAAAGGATCCAGAGGTCTCTCCTCCACACCTAAGGTCTGAGTTATTAACCTCAGAAGAAGGTCAAGTGATTTGATTACAAGTCAAGAGCCTAAAGGTATAATGGAAAGCTGATGGAGAACCCTTCACCCYCACAGAAAGGTTTAACCAGTGCCAGTGATGAAAACTGTCAAGACACACACACACACACAATTTTAACACCTTAAGTGTGAATTGCGCAAGAAAAAAAAAAMCACTTACATGGTAAAATTTTGCTGCTCAACAGGTTGGACCTAATTATTTYTAAGAAACATTTCCTATTTACTCATGAACCTGATAATGGAGAGGTGCTCATGTGCACGCACACAACTGCTCCTATTTGACTGCTACACTRCTCTGAAGATTTTTCAGGCTAAGAATAAATTATTTAAAGCTGGTGAAGGAATTTCCCACCCCACCCGCAGCCTGCCCTCGGCAAACTACGCTTAAATGTAATAAAGAGATTTTTGTCAGCCAGAGAAGGGGCTAATGATGCCTGTTCCATCTTTTGGCCTAAGGAGTTCCCTCTCCTGCCAGCATTAACCAGGGTGAAGCCCCTTCTCACCTGTCAAGCAGCACTTCAGGTAACACCAAAYTGCAAAGCAGAGCATTGTGTCAACTGACAAATCACCATCACTCAGGCAAGACTGTCTGTTCCCTTACCCAGCCTTTGCTGTCAACAGCACAGCTCCCAAAAACCTGTAGTGCCAGCATTACTGAAATAGCTGTGGGACAGCAGGAAYCAGTGACTGAAGGGGAAAAGAGATGAGCACCATTTATCCAGGCACTGTCACCTAGAAAATTAATGGGAAACCACTGGCTCCATTCGGTTCATAAGGGCACTCAATATCGACAGTCAGACCATTCAGCAAGGACTCTATTACCACATGATGAGTATGAATCTCAAAAAGGAAAAAGTCATTTAAGCTAAGGTGGAAGTCACTTGCCCAGAGGTAAATACCTTYACTAGCAAAGTAAAATAAGTCTCAATTTCTTAGTTAAATGTGTTTGTCTTTTTGCATTTTATGATCGGCTCTGGCTAATAGTTCCATATATTTGCTGGAAATTGGCATCTTTCTATGACCACTCAGTCATACTGGCACTGTGGATACAGTCAGCTCTTCTGGATTAAAGCATTTGAATTGTAAAATCCTATCACAGKGCCAAGCACTCAATTATTTACATARTACCTTTTTATTATTATTTCTGATATGCTTTTGTTTGGGACTTCACAATGGAATTGAAATAGGATGAAGACTAAGACAAAATGCAGCCCAAGAGTCAGCAGTCTAAATCACTTTTAAACAGGTTCTCAGGGGGCTTTTGAGAGAGCCATTTCTCAATTAAATACACACAGATAAAACAAGAGATCATACAGGATGAAATTAAGGACTTGCTATTAACAACCATCAGTCAGAAAACTAAACTCATGCTCTGAATGCTGTACTTCTCTGGCAAGACAAGCTGAACCTAGGGACAGGACAGCTGCACTTCGCTCCCACTTCTTCTTGTGGTTTTGTGCCAGAAAACAAAATCTTTAATTTTTCCAGAGAAGCCCTGCCAAGCTGAGGCTGCAAATAGGATATGGTGTGTTAGTAAACTCCCAGCCAGCTCGCTCACACCCTGGCCAGAACCATTCCAAGTGCCTAAATCCCTACGTGCACGTTGGCAGCAGTGACTGCCTCCCCCTCACACAAACCATCCTCCTGTGTTAGTCCCCATTTGTAAATTAGGCCAGTGTAGAACACACCATTTTCATCTGTTCTGGCAGAATATGCAGCACCCAGTCTTGCCTTCTCTCCTTTATACARGCTTTCCTACAACCCACCTCCACCACTAAAATTGTGACAAACCAAAGCTCTCCATAAAGCATTAGCTGTTCTGGGATCATCTATACACACAGCTGTCTTTCCCAGAGTTCAAACAAAGCTGTTTTCTTTTTCTTCCAATTCTTCACAAGGAATCAAAGATAAACAGTCATCCCACCCACCCTTTTTTAAACAGTAGGACAGACTCAATCACTACAAATTTAGCAGCAGCAAGTCCACCACCCACAATGAACACCCTGCCATAAACACTGCTGCTGCCTCCAGGACTCAGCCTGAGCACAGCACGGGGAATATTCTCAGAAACACACACCAGCAGAGTTCATGCTACTTGGGTTTTTAGCTTTTGAGTTTTATTTTTTCACCCAAGAGAAAGCCAGTGTCTTCTAATCCCTYCCCAKMCCCTCCAGCAGCARAAAACAACTCCAAGGTRCTGCTGAACCCACAAACCAGGTTTAGTGATCTGGACTAACCCATCACTCACAAAGGTMCTGTTAACAAATAAAGATGTCTGACAGAAATACATAATATTATATGTCTCGACTTGTTTAATCAGGGAGTACAATAGTTGGCAACAGATAAACATATGCATGGAAGAGGGTAAATCTGGCAAAAGTTGCAAAAGCAAGGCTGGAGCCAGAAGAACACCAGCAAAARATAAGCAAAGGAGAAAAACATTACRAAATGTGTAAGTCTATCCAGGGAGGGCAAAACCAAACAATAAAGCACGTCAGGGAAAGGGGAGGACAGAGAAAAATGAGAAGAGACAGAACCCATAAATGAGAAGAGTAAGTGTCATGTGGAAGCCAAATCAGTGGCTTTCACACAGAAAAAAAAGTGGCAGGAAAAGGGAAGGAAGGGGAAAGTATGAAAGAAATATTTCAGTCTTTAATTCCATCCTGTTAACACTGCTTTCATTCGCCATATAAATCTTCTGATGAACGGTAGCTCCCCCCACACACGGCAGTATATTAAGATTCTTTATTAAGGCTTTCCAAACACCACAATGTCATTCTTTGGCTTTTTACGTGGTTTGCCTAGACTGTGTTTTTTGTTGCTAAGCTCTCATTAGATGTGTATGTTGCACTGACAGGGAAGAGATTATAAAATACAAGAAACCTGAGCACAAGCCCAGTATTTGATTTTACACAAGTGAACACTCTCTGGCAACAACACACAATGCCTCGTGTGTGCTTGGGGATTCTTCTAGATCTGTTCAGCATGAACAGACTCTGTCTGAACTGTCCCACAGTGGCGTGTGAGCAATTAATTTAGGGAAGCACAGAAAGGGGAGGMGAGCAGAGATGCAGACRTATCACAAAGCATCTCCCACCCCARACRCTCCTGTGGYAGCCCTGGGCAGGACAGCTCATGGCTCTGGCACACAGCTGARGACTGCGAGGAGGAACACAGCCCTGAGCCACGAATACCACGGAGGCACCCGAACAACAACACAAAGATGGAGCCAAATTAATAAATCTTGCTTACAAGGGATGACAGCGTGTCAGGAAGAGCAAATGTACCCATCTAGCTACCCGCGTGGAAGACAAAGATATCCATCCTGAACAGCAAATTGYGTCCAACACCATGAACACTTCACACCCCACAGGCAGAAAACTAGCCTGATTCTACACTTAATTCAATTATCTGTGTCAACAGTGACCAAACACATCAGCATTTACAGCTTCCCACCATTTATCAGTTCACACATGCAGAAATTAAATCGACTCCTGAACAAGRAACCATCAGCAACTCTGATCACAGAAAAAAACCCAGAAAACTATTTTTGCCACAAAGTTTAAACTGAGTACAGCTCCGTTTGGAAAATTAAA